CGAGAAAGAGATGTAGAGGAACACGGGGCAGGAAAGGCTTCACTGTGCGCTCGCCCCGTCAGGCAGGGGTCGGCGGATTTTGCATAGATATTTTGTGGCATCCTGTAGTAACCCTGTTATCATAGCTGCCGAATTTCACAACAAAGCCGCCCCAAAGTACTACCAATGATCTTCATAGACCGTGCAAGACGCTATCAACCCCCATGATGTTTCTTCGAGGCCCTTGCAGTATCCAATTGCCAGGCCATGAATGCCAAGTCCGATCCTAGCGAGGAGGAGCGAAAAGGCGCAGCAGAGTTCACGAAACAGCTGGTCCTGGCCATATTCAGCTCCATGTGATAAAGCTGATGGAGGAAACCTTTCAAGACCCATGGTGCGTAAACCAAGGCAAGCCTCTTGTATTCTGAAATCCCCGCAGGCCTCTGAGTGTCATTACCCCCCATGCCGGCTAATTGGGGACTTTGTGCTCGTAGAAGAACTGTCAAGACTATGTAAGTTTTCTGGGATGATGCCCAGCTTCCTCGAGGCACGCGTTCCTTAGCTGGACGGAGGAGCGCCCGTTTTGGAAGGGCCCAGCATATAGAAGCCCCAAATTCAAGGCATCCCTTTCAGAGCTCTCATGATGGAACATCATCATGTACAACCGGCTGCGACAACAGTAACCGCAATATCCACACGCAGAAGTGTGAGGCTTCAGGGTCATCCTACAGAGTTTCTGCCTACTCCAGTGCCGTACCCATTTCTTCAAGAAGCTTTGTAGGGTTTGTAAAGATTGCAGTAGCTGCGGCTAAATGTCCGCTCCCAGAAGGAGTGCCTGGGTCACATCTGAGCTTTAGTCCTGCTGCTACTCGGATCCCAACCCTCCCAAGCCTGCATGTCTGAAACCTTGCGGCCGTCACAGGCGGCTCTGGCCACATTGGCAAGATGGTGGGGAGCTGAAAATATTACAACGGAAAGGGGGGGTGCAGTATAATATGATATTATATGATATAGTATAATATAGTATACTATAGTATACTATAGTATAATATAGTATGATATAGTATAATATAGTAAAATATAGTATTCCGTTTGTCAGAGTTCATTAATTGAAATGACAACAAGTCCGAGATCTTATTATGACAAGATGTTTTTTTGGGTACAGGATCATGCATGCTGCTTCTGGCTCAATTTGGGCATGCTGTACTTCTTTGTTTTTGAGGTGTTCTCTGCGGGAGCCGAGCACCTTGCAGTCCTTGCCTACGTCCCTGAGGCTGGAGATGGATTTGCAGGAGCTGAGCATACTTGAACCCTAGGGGCTAAAAAGTTACCATACTTCTAGCGCCAGCCAAAAGACCGTTTGCATCAGCTCTTCCCGCTCGCAGTCGTTTTTCGGGACAAGAAGAGGTGCTGCGCGGCTCTATGTGTGCAGTTCTGCCGTAAGCTCTGAGCCGTGAGAGGCGAAGCAGGCTGAGCTCAGCTGCGAGGAGCGCAGGGGCGGGTGCTAGGTGACAGTTTGGTTTCATGTCAGGGTGTGGGGCTAAGCCTGTTGTTGTTGTGGCTTCCTTTTTCACTGGTGAAGTGCTTGAGCCTCCGGACCCAAAGCTTGAGACTGCTTGCAGTCAAGCAACGACCTGCTTCGACTGACGCCCGAGCTGATTCCAAGCAGCAGAGCAGGGCCTTTCATCAAACAGCTGACAAGGGTAGCTGGGTTGCAGCTTGTCCTTGCTGATGAAGTCTGCCATGTACAAGATGCATGCACGTCCCAAGCATTTAGACAAGACCATTTCTTGAAGTCCCCAAGTGATTGAAATAGCTCTGAGCTTTTTGGGGGCAGGCCTGGCTCGAGAAGGTCCTGAGCCAGCAGCCAGACTTCAAGCTCATCACCAAGGGCAAGGCGTGCGCTCCTACCTGAATGGGATCTACATGGCTCAGAGGTTATGTAGGGGTGAGCAGTCCCGAACTCCGAAAACTTGACAGGCCTCGAGTAGCGACCGCTAAGCTGCAAAACCTTTGCAATTGAACCCCACTAGGCCTTGGGCAAGGCCTGGTGGGATGTCTCTGAATCGGGTGAGCATTTTCCCTACCATTTGTAAACTAAAGGTCTTTCCTTGAAAGGGTATGCATACGGTATGCATGTCTGCTCCTGCCATTCTGGGACACTGAGACTATCCAGCTTTTAGCATGTACTGCAGTCTAGCAGATGCGCTGCTGGAGAATGCAGGACGTTTCGACTGGCATCATTCCCACCAATGCGGACCATTGTCAGCAAAGCTTGAACAACTGTCTGACTTGTGTTTCGCTGTTGGACTTGCGCGATGTGATGACGGCTCTGTGCCATGAAAGGCACATGCTCATGGGTTTTGGTGTCAACACATTTGGCTGCATCTGGGTATTACTAACTAAAATGGGAGCCCCCTTATGCACCTCCAAATGCCATCATTATTATTGGTTTGCCCGAAAGGCACAGCTTGACTTCTGTACTCTCTGAGATGTGACAGTTTCAATAAGGACCCCTAGAATCCTCCCACAATCCCTTTGCTATTCCTAAAAGTTTTGGGGGCCCATAAACCCTAAACCCCTAAAGCCCTAAGCCCTTAACACAAATCCCGATGAGCTCTTTGAGCTTTGCAGGACAAGGGGGTGTTCCCCCTCAAGATCAGGGAGGGCCTCATCCTGGAGGCTTACATGTCTGGGTTTGGGGTTTCTAGGGTTCTGGGGATTAGGGGGTTCTGGGGTTCTGTTTGGGGGTTAGGGTTCTGGATTTAAGGGGGCTAGGTGTTTAGGGGTTAGGGTTTTGTATTTAAGGGGTTTAGGGGTTTGGGGTGTAGGGTTTTGGACTTGAGGGGTTTAGAGGTTTAGGATGTAGGGTGTGGGATGCAGCAGGGTTTGATGGAGGAAATCTTGCGCCACTCGAGACACTTGAAGCCTAGGCCCTGACAAAGCTTTAGCTATGTTCGTAGCTTCGGGGATCTGGAAACCTGGGGTTGATATGGGAAGTCTTCCGTCAGTACTACTACAGCTTGAAAGCTTAAACCTCATCTTGCCCAGAAAGCTGTCAAGGTCGAAATGTGCGGAGCCATAGCATAAGGACGCGAATGTCGGAAAGAAATGCCCATATTCCGCAGCTTTGTTTTCTTGGGGCTCGATAGAGGAAGCGCATGAGTCAAGAATGTGCAATGTCTGGTTTCTGAGCTCTAATTATTGCTTCAGAAGTTCGAAGGGTTTGCAATTCAAGTGCAGATTCATCTAAGTCATACCGTTTGGAGCCGCTACGCTTTTCAGCCACTGGCTTTGCCTCTGTATGGATCAGTATTTAGCGTGAATCCTTGACGGGCCCTCTCATGAGAGATAACCTGTTCAAGACCTGCCACCATCCTTCCCGGGATGCTGAGTTGTAGTCCCAACCTCAAGTTGTGGCATCAGCAGCTTGAAGCCGTATTGCGCGACAGCGTTGTGGTAAGGCAAACAACTACCTGAGGAAGCTTGGACTCTTCCCAGAGGCGCAGCAGGGTTTTGAACTCGATTCAATTGAGTTGCTCGACGGGACTAAATCAACTTACATGTTCTGAGCCCATCTGCGGAAGTGATGCCGGGATTCCAGAAAAACTGTATGCATCCGTGCAGGACGATGGCGACGACGATGACGAGTGCGTCTTCGGTGATGATGATTTCCCTGCATAGAAAGTTTCAAGCGCGGACCTTAAATTTCCAGTTTTCAGGTTTAGAGGAAAGTCGCGCCAGAAAGGATGTTCTTGAGTCTCCTGCTCAGCTGCCGTGGTGCATAGAGCACATCAGAGAGACCTGGCTTGTGATCAGAATGAAGACTCTTGCGAGCGAGCTGAACTTGGCACCTCTATGACTTCGGGCATCAGGGTGGCAGGCCAAGAGTTTCAGGTCGGGGGCTTTCAGGGCTTCTAACCTTGAGAGGGCAATTCTCAACCCACACTTTTTTTCCTTCGGATCACGTCCAGAGCCGCCATCTAACCATCTCAATGAGGCAAAGCAGCAGTAGCTCAGCAGCTGAGTGAACCTTGAGCGCTTGGCCAGGCCAGCAGCACAGCTGTCAGCCAAACAGGGCCAAAGGGCAGCATCTGTCTTGGCAGCTAGATGATATGTGAACTCTGTGAGAACTGATTGGAGGCTCTGTTTGTGTGCTGTGCTGCAAGCCACTAGATTCGCGAGTTGCTTCTTTGCTACAGAAGACTGTTTGCTGCCCATTGGGCATCTCGCGCCGAACGCACAGCGTTGCATGCCTCGTGCTTGGAAAATGTCATTCAGTCTGTAAGTTTGCTGTTGATCGCGACTGAACGCTGGCTGCGTCGGCTTCTGCGTCATTGGGAAATGATCAAATGATCGGCGCAGGGCAGCATATACATGAGAGGTTGCTCATTTCCCTTTGAATTTTGTGAGGATGTGCGCGTTGAAAACATCGCTTTGGACAGACTCCGGACCATCGCTTAGACGTGCTGGGCCAAAGAAGAGTTGCTAAATATTGCCAGATTTTGCTGGTCGCTATTAGAGCGGTGAAGCCTTAAATTGCAAGCTTCCGCAAATGCTGATTCAAAAATCTGGCTCCAGGAAGTCTTGGCTGAGTCTCCTGCGTATGTGGATGCAATGTTGCCCACACCGATGTCCCCGTCACAGCACGGCTACGCAGCAGAAAGCCTGGAAGAATCCGAGGACCCCGAGTCTCAATCTGGCCAAGCGGCTATTCCAGAGCCAGAGGAAGGCTTCAGGGAGAGCCATCTGCCGAAATCATCCACCAAGGACTCACGGTTTATGCACCCAGATGACAGCCTCCTGGCCTGCGACGTTTTGTCAGCTGAGAGTATTGTAACAGAGTAATTTACAGGAATGCAACAATCAACATGTGTGTTTTTTTTTTTTTACTTGGCAGTGAGGCTTGCACAAGCACTGGTATGAGACAACAGTGCGATTGCGGGGCATGTTCTACATTTTTTTCTCACTGGCCGTGGTCTGTGCGCTTGCATTGGGCTTGACAGCAGCGGCTTGGTTGCAGCAGGTGTACAGAAGCCGTACATGTGCGTCTAGCATCCTGACATGGTGAAGCCAGCTTCTCAAACTTCAAACTTGAGGGGCTTTTCATGGGTTCCTCCGAAACCGGACCCTCATGCTTGGGAGTAATTCAGGGAGCCTCTCCTTTGACCTGAAATCAGACCTGCTAAGGAGACATTCTTCTTCATCATGGCAGCGCCGAAGAATGAGGGTCTAAGCTTTGGAATAGTTGTTGGAATCTTGCTGACGCAGCTTGGCATTGAATGCCACAGGGGCCTGGCCGCCGCCACTGCCGCTGCCACCACCATTGCTACCACCACACCACTGCCACCACCGCCTTCACCCCCACCGCCCCGCCACCGCCCCCGCCACCGCCACTGGCGCCGCCGCCGCCACGGCCACGGCCAAGGCCGCCACAGCCAGCGCCGCCGCCGCCACGACCAGCCTTGCTACTTTGACTTGCACTATTGCCGCTGGCGCTGGTATTGGTACTGCTACTACTGAGTCTACTCCTGCTACTACGGCTACTTCTTCTATTTCGAAGATATCTACTGCTACTGCTGCTGTTATTTCTGCTGTTCTTACTTCTACGAATAAAACAATGACTGCCGCTGCTGCAACTGCTGCTGCTGCTGTTACTATTCCTGATACTACTACTTCTACTATTACGGCTGCTGATACTACTACTACTATTACTACTATTACTACTACTACTACGACGACTACTACGACTACTACTGCTACTACTGCTACTACTGCTACTCCTGCTGCAGCTGCTGGTCTTCAGCTACTGCTACTGCTACTGCTACTGCTACTGCTACTGCTACTGCTACTACTACCACCACCATCACCACTAGCACAACTAGCACCACTAGCGCTAGCACCACTAGCACCATAGCCACTGCCATCATTATCATGACGAGCATCGAGGCCCATCTCCTTGCTTCTCACAGCCATTTACGTGGACGAATGTGTGGATATGGGCCTGGACGCTGCCGACAAGCCTTCCTTTGGACTTTTTCGAGCAGCAGCCCACGGCTCAATTGCTGCGGAGACGTCCGATGTGTTCTTTAAGGTTTGGTTCTCAGCGGTTCAGGTTTAGGAGCCAGTTTGTCCAAAACAGGTTGTCCTGCTTGGACTGGAACGGTGCTTGCAAATTGTGCTCGCCAGAGGCATAACAAAAACATGCGCCACTGTTTGAGGAAAGCACTGGGTTGCGGGGTTCATCATCTACTGCTTGCTTAAGGTCTTCTGTTTCGCGCTTAAGCAGTCTGGACAAGTTGCATTCACTAGCCCCAGCTCAAAACCCGGTGCATGCAGCGCCTTGAGTCATAGGATTGAATGAGCTCGCAGGTCACTGCGTCTACCCGCCGTTTTGGAAAGGCAGGGAAGCTGTTAGCTTCTGAGTATTGCGACAGTTCACAATTCCCGTAACATGTGATTTCTTAAAAGAGGTGCCTTCAAAAATCCTAAAATGAGGATTGCAGAAGGATCATGGATGGTCATGGTCCCGGGGATCCCAGAGGTGTATTTTTGAGCAACTCCGAGATGGAAGTTTCACTTGGGGAAAGCTTCTTCGCCTAGTGATTACTTGCTGCTAGCAAGTCCTCATCATCAGGAAAGCAGTTCACCCTACACTCCAAACTGTGAGCTCGATATGCTGGATCCCAAAATCTGAACCTTTGAACCTACGCAAATGCCTGTTCGAAGGTGCACACAGATCATGTGGAACGTGTGCTAGCGCCCCGGCAGAAAGGGAAAGCCCGCAAGGATGGATTAAACTTGGGGCTTAGGATTTGGATGCAGAATCCAGGCTTGAGAGTTGTAGATTCAGAGCTGCAGATTCAGCGGCCTGGGTGAGGCATGAAGGTTCGGGGTCCAGGGCCTTGCCAGATAGGATATATGCGTTTTAATGTGCTGTTCTCCGAGTCAATCTACTCTGCGCTGAACTTCTGTTTGAGGTGACTTATAGTAGCGGTAGTCGTAGTATTAGCCGTCGTCGTCATCTTCGTTGTCGTCCTCATCCTAGTTCTTGTTCTCGTCCTAGGGCCTCTGGGTCGTGGTCGGGGTCGTGGTCGTTACAGTCGTACTGCGCGCGGTTGATGACTGTGGTTGTGTCGGTGGTGTCCGTCGCGGCGGCGGCGGCGGTGGTGGTGGTGGTGGTGGTGGTGGTCGTCGCAGTATTTTTTGCAGGAGGAGAACTACGATGACGAAGAAAAGGGAGATAACGAGGGCGACGGGGCGACGGCAATGACTTTGACTACGCAGCTACACAACCATGCAACTGTTGACGCTGCTTCAACTGCTGCTGCTGCTGCGGCGGCGGCGGCGACGACGACGACGACGACGACTACTACTACTACTACTTTGCTGTTGCTGCTACTACTATTTCTGCAGCAACCACCTCCTACCATTACGACTGCTACTTACAAGAATAATCATCATGGTGGTTCATAGTGATCATCAGGGTGACATGATGATGGGGCGCAGCCAGGTGCTCATGCTGGAAATTATGCCAGTGATCTTTGCGATCATCTCCTTGGTGCAGAGCCCAAACAAGGCGTGAACTGCGTGATGACGGCTGATGCGGCTATTGAGAAGTGTAGTGACAACGATACCAAGAGTGGTCATGATGATGTGGATGATGATTATGTGGTTGGTGTCATGGGCGCATGCTTCCACACTGCTAGTCCTGGGTTGTGCGGACATGTATTCGCTATCACCATGTATCCTATGCTGTTCCTCAGGTCTACTGGTACAAGGAAGTTGGTCGCGGATACTGTCTCGGAGGTCTGATTTTTGCACTCTGTGTGTGTGGAATTTACATTATTTGTCACATCCACGTCGGGCATATTCCGGCGAGAGACGAGCTTATGGCCGAACTGTATCACAACATGGCCCCGATCGGCCGTTTCAAGCGAGCTCACGGAAGTGAAGCTCACCAAGCACTCTTTGACAGAGAACATCACTGGGGACGGGCTTGCTGTTTTGCCTGTTTGGGTGTGTGCATCCTGGCGTTGGCTATAGTCCTCTTCCTCTTTTTCCCGAAGCTCTATGCCATATGCTTGGCTGAGCTCCTTGCAACGATCCTGTGGGCCCTTGCTCTACGTAACTATGCCCCTCGCTTGTTGGGGAAGGCCTTTTGGTTCACATTGGTCTTCTTCATAGTACTTGCGACGAGTCTGCTGATGGGAACGCTTCAGTCTGCCGAGCCAAATCCCAGTGACTTGGATCCCCTTGTGTTGGGACCTTCCGCTGCTGGCTTCAACAGCAGCTCCACGGCTGGAGGGCTGCCATTGCAGTTTCAGTCCTCAAGATTGTCTCCCAACGTTGCATTCCCAATCTGTCGAACAAGCTGGGGTGAAGCTGTAGAAGGACAATCTTTGTATGTATCAATTCAGTTTTACTGCTGCCATGCTTCATCAGTATATTCCTCTTCTTTGATAAAGCATGCGGGAGGAGAGACTAGCCTCAACATCCTGGATCTTTCCATCCTGGCCTTTGCAAGCTCCTTTGGAGATGCGGATGATGTGCGCCATGGCCTTGGCGAAATGCTGAGCCTTGAAAGCATTCAAGAGGTACAAGAACGGAAGCTAGGTGTCCGATGGGATGATGGCGGTACTGCGCAAAGTAGTTGAGTTGGGGCCGAAATTTATGATTTGTACAAACAGAGAGGACTTAGTGCACTCAACCCTCCACTTGTGTCCTCCGTGCCAATTCCGGAACCTTGTAGGTAGGTTGCATAATTGGAAGCCTGTGGTCATGGTAGTTAACGCGGCTGCTGAAGGCGAACACTCTCCAGTCCCATAGGGTACATCTGGGGTTGGAGGGGGACGGTTTTGGAGGGGACGGGAAAGTGGAGGCCCCCTTCCTCCATTTCTGGAACTGCAGGACGGACAGTTGTCACTAGCCGCGGCACAGTTCCTGAGCAGGGGTTGGCATTTTAGGAGGCCGGGGTTCAAAAGGTAGTGTTCTTGGTTCGGCATACAAATGTAGTCGTACTCATGGCTCCAAGGTATCTCAGCGAACGGCTGGTTGGTTGACAGCATTTTCCAAAAAATGCGGTGTCATACACTTGTGTGGCTCACACGCAGCATCCTGTGGAACACTATGTGTTTGTTTGCTTGTTGGGTCGGGTGTGCTAAGATTTCCCTTTGTCCCTCCAGACTGCGCCGAGTTCAATGTGCCCATGCCCGGAAGTTGAGATATGATTCTAACCGCACCGGCTATCTACATCGCACACTTCTTCTTAATAATTTGTGCAGAAGCTAGGGCCTCTGTTGTTGGTATTCCCGCAGAACGTGTGCATTTATGTATTCCAAATGTCACAATCTGGATCATTTCGAAGAAGGGCCCCCTCTTCTTCGGAAGCTCGTATATAAAAACGATGCAACCCCAAATTATGAGATGCGTATTGTCGAGAAGCCCTATGAACCCAGAAGCGCGAAGCCTACATCCCAAACCCTTGAGTCCAAAATCTGAAATGCTTAGCCCGAAGCTCCAAGCACCCAAACCTCAGCCTTGAACCAGGAACGGAACATTCCCAGATTGGGAGCTTCTTGAGGTGGAGGCTTGGAATACCACAGGGAGGTGGAGACTGGATCAGTGTTGAACGCATTTTCAAAGTTACGGTTCAAGGGTTCAGGATATGGCAAGGGGATCGCAGTACCTCTCAGAGTTGTCTTAAGCCTATCCGTTATAAGGAACAGGGATGATCTTGTGTACTAAAGCTATGATGTCACTCACAACCTAGGATTGTTGTCTCCATTCCGAGCTTGCATGCTCGCATCATCTCAGTGCGGGGCACCACCAATCTACGAGACGCCTATGCCAATCTGCAGATCTATTCCTCCATTGTTGTGCTGCAGCTCATGGGGATATTGACCCCCGTTCTGACCCTCATGCCCGAAGGAGTCATTCAACGAGTGGCCGGAGGCGGCATCACCAAAAGCTTCCGCAACGGTTTGAGAGTCGAAGCAAGGCTGGCAGACGCAGCACGGAAACATAAGGAAGAGGCCAGGAAGGCTGGTCAGGTGTTGCTGATGACCGGTCACAGTCTCGGAGGTGCCCTAGTTGGGGCGGTGTCCGCCGAAGTGGGCGTACAGGGAATCGGCTTCTCGCCCCCTGGCCTCTTCTTCCAGAAGTATCAGTGGGACCTGGACGTCTCGCAGCTTACCAAGGCTTTCACGGTGATCCAGCCGACAAATGACATTGTGCCGCAGGTTGACAGGCAGGGGCTTCTCAAAGTCCCGGCATCTTTTGGGGGATCCATGTAGTGAGGGCTCTTCTAGTTGCCGGTTTGGAAGTAGATGCGGGCCCTAATGTCGCGAAAAAAACCAGGCAACGTGGCCTCATTGAGTGGATTCCCTGCGGCGAGAGTGCATTGACATGCCACCGGTTGACGCACACCACCTGCGACCAGCACCACAATGGTCAACATGTTCTGCCCTTTTCGAGCTTGGCGCGTCAGCTTTCCAGTAATTGTGGGCTTGGAAACCTCCAAGTGGTTTCGAGAAAGCGTTTTCATCCATGACCCAAATATGGTATCCATTAAGCGTAGGCTCACCATATGGATATACAGACGCATGAAGTATTCCGTTTCCTTGCCTACATGCTCTTAAGACACTGCGATTTGCTGTTGGAGCTTTGAGGCGCCCTGTGGGCACAGTGTGGAGATTCCCGCACAAGGGACTGGCGGCCGACTTGCTCCCAGTGGTTTCTAGGTCACTTTCATTTACTCGTACATACTGGTGGTTAGTAGTAGGGAATAAGGGAGTGCATTATGTAGGCGCTATGGAGGGAGGTATTCCTTTATTGCCTGCTAACCGCCAGAAAGTTTTAGAGTTTAGGGTTCGGAATTGTTGCATGTCGTCTTACATATGTGGTCACTGGGGTAAGTGTCCTAGTATGTGTAGGACAACGCAGGACAAAATGTCCAGGTTTCAGGAAGGCCATCTTTTGGACCGCTGTTCCTTTGGAGGGGGGCAGGCATGGGCAGCTTTGAGGAATGCTACAGCCCCACAGGAGAAAGCAATACCATTTAAGGCATGTTATCACCACGGAATACATGTGTGTCACCCCGTAAATTATGACGGTCATCTTCTTGGTGGTGGTGATGGGAGCGGCGTGGGTGGTGATGGTCAAGATGGTCAAGATGGTCATGGTGGTCATGGTGGTGGTCTAGTAGTCGTTGTTTCTGTCGAGCAGATTTCCTGAGGTTTGGCAAGGCAGACCTGAACCTGCCGGCAACGCTTTGAACCGCAGAGTTCGACATGCCCTGAAATTAATTCAACGCAACAACATTGTCATGACGCCCAACACTCGGGCTTTCTGCGCCGCATTTCTGTTGCTCCGATGCAACTTATGCACATGTATAATAAATTCTCCGGACCTGCTCGGTTTTGCATGCTCTCAAGTCTGCACAGCTCAGACTCCTGCCATGTGACATCAATCCCCGCAAGAGGGAAGGTCCGTGTCACAGTTTACAGTACCCAGACCTCGGTCACCTGCAATCCACAAAGCAAATACCTCGCTGCCTTCAGTGTTGGGTTTCATGCTGACTTGGCCTGCTGGACATGACATCACCATGGATTCCCGCAGAAAAGCCCTGGACCAAATGTCAAGTTTTCTCAAAAACATGTGTCTTTCATCTGTACCGGGGGTACCTGAGTTTGCGAAGAAACGTTTGGAAGATTTTGGAAGTATGCATGTTGGTGGATTCTCTTAACCTGCATGTGAAGTGGATTAGGGAGGCCCTTGAGGACCAGGTGCTGCCAAGTACCTGGCCATGGAACCTGGCACATCTGGCTAGCCAGCCGAAGGAGAGGAGTGTACATGAAGGTGTTTGTGTAATCATATATATATATATGTGTCTATATGTATACATGCATATATATATATATGTATGTGTGTGTATGCACATAGATGTATATGTGTATAGGTGTATACGTGCCCACGTGTATATATGTATCCATGCATACTGCGCACACGACTATTTCTTCATGTGAGCTGAACATGCATATACATGTCTTTAATGGCGCGTGGCTTGAAAGCATTGAGTCGTGTCTTCCCCAACAGCGAAGCGATTGGGTCTCGTGCCCTTGGGTTCCGTCGCGGGTTCTGAAGCGGGTCCGGAGCATGCGCGACCCTCCATCCTTACCTCCTTCATTAGCCATCTTTTATGTATTTGGTCTGTTCTCACGAGGTGAATCGCATTAGAAGCTTCTTGCGGCGTCCGATGGGTTTGCTAGGCTGGGTGTTGAGATTTCATATGTGTCCTGAGGGTGTCTGCATGGGTTCCTGAAGGTTGTCGTGGGTTTCCTCACGGTGCCTGCGGATCTCCCACAGATTGCCAATGAGTTTCGTAAGATTTTTCCCCACTGGAGCTGGTTCTGGACCGGCTTTTCACTCCAACGTTAACATTTTGACCACTCCCCCTCTTCAAAAACACGCAAACCAGAGAATCTCTTAGCAACAGATGCTTTCATAAACTCTCCACAGATCCTTGAAGAATCACACTTTGAATTAAGATGTGTGGCAAGCTTCCGCCAGAAAGGTCTGCGCAGACACAGATTTCGTTGGAATTGTATTTTAATGTGAGCCCCCAGGAAGTCGCCAACACTTGATGAACCTACGAAATTGCTAATGAGATTTCCCATTACAATGTGATAACCGTTCTGAACCAGGGCTGATAGCTTGGACCTTCCTTTAAAAAAAGCAGAAATTCAGGAAGGTCTGACGCAGAATCCTCCGCATGAAACTTGGGCTCACCTTCTTGTGAAACGAACTCGGAAGCAGCTTGAGGGTACGGGTTTTGTGGTTCCACAGCGGGCTGGAGCGAGTTGCAGAGCACATCCTGGCACAGCGGATTAGGCTTCCAAGAAGGACATGATTGCTCAGCGGTGAACCTTGTCACATCGCGACTCAGGCAACAAGCAGACATCAAGATTAGTGGGAGAAGGATTTCCCAAATCTTCCCCGTGAGCTAGGAAGGGAGCATTTCCAATTGGGAGTTTCTTCAGGTCAAGGCTTGAAATACCATGGGGAGTTTGAGACGGGATCAGCGTTGAACGGATGGGGGGGTCATGGTCTAGAGGTTTGGGATGTTTCCGTAGTAAGGGTTCAGTATAGAGGACGGGGATGGCAGTGTCCCTCAGAGGATACACGGACTCGTCCAAGCTCGCATGCCCTTGTCATATCGGTGCTGGGCATTCCTATGTGCTGTACCTCATGGGGGTTTTGACATGCCCCAGCTTGCTTCATGGATACAAACACCACAAAAATACAATGCAGGGCCCACAGAGCCCCAAGTTGCAATCTGGAGCACTGCCTGCAGTCAAGACTGCCGCCAGCACAAATCAAACGTCATCGCGAACACAAGGCGCTGTATACAGTGCTGCAGTCCGCTGGAAGCGCCAGCAAAAGTGATGTCAGACCTGGATTACCTTAACCAAGCCAAACGTGACATGGAACCAGGACGATGTGGCGGATGACATTGGACAATGGCAAGGTGCGCTGGCATGCTTGGTGCGAAAGCCTGAAGGGATCGTTTGGGGGATTATTGGGCTTCTGGCTGTACACAGAGCAGTTGCCTTCATGCTTCTTGCATGCTCGACATATTGTTTAAAGACTGTGATGCCTTCGCTAGTGTTGAATGTTACACGACATCCACATCTCTGAAGTGTGTTGTCTGCAGCCATTGTGCTGACTTGAGCCGGCCGTTGACTGCAAGGACATTTGTCATGACATGCCTGAGCAACACTTGTGCTAGAGCACTTGCTGTATCTTTCGCAGACTCGCCTCTTTGCCTCCTCTTGAAGCATACGCTCCGAGCCATGATGAAGAAAGCCACGATGAAGCCTGTCATGAGCTTGAGCACTACACGCTACCAAGGCGGGAGGGCCGCATGTCTGCATGTTGTAGGCAGCCCCTCGAATCACTTCAGAATCCTCCCGTCTTCACTTGATGCCTTCCTGCCTGTGAGGATCAAGAGTGCAAGTAATCGCAGGTCTTTGACAGGATTTTTTGGAGCTTTGAAGGTTTGAGGTCCTCTGTTCTGCTTGGACGCAGAGGAGATGAGAAACGGCCCGGCAGGGCGATGGATAATTGCTCTCTTGGCACAGAAGCCACATGACACCGCTCTTAGTTGGGCACGTTGCATATCAGTAGTATAAAAAGTGACCTAGATTTTGTTGACCGCCCGGAAGACTGATGGGAACAGAGCTGGACAATGCAAAGCACCACCAGGATGTTCAAGAAATGCATAGAAGACTCGTTGCAGCAGAGGCAGTTGAAGAATTGAAGACACGCCTTGAGCTACGCAGACTGTTACTTTGAGCTACTAAATGGAGCATAGCAAGCCTGGAAAGGCCAGACATGAACTGAACCCTGCATGGCTTTAAAGCTCACGCTTGAGGGATCCAGCCCCAGCTTTATGTGAGATGCAGCGATCTCTCCTGTGGAGGCTACAAAAAGATCATTGAGCAGGAGACCGCTGTTGTCTGAGCTGGATGCACATGATGTCATTGTAGGAAGCAGAGCAGCTCAGCAACACCTTGATGGGAGCACCTTCACGCAGGTTCGCAACGCCAGAAGGAGGCCCCCAATGAAATATCCGTGCTCCAGTCTCCATTCGTTGGGGTTACAAAAGGTTGATGAAAGAAAAAGAGTTGAGTGCTCAGAGAAGAATCTTGTCACACTGCGACTCAGGCAACAAGCAGACATCAAGATTATAGACAATTTGCTAGGAGCAATCCCCAAATTTCCAAGTGTCATCGGCAACAAGAAGCCCTAAAATGCCGTTGATGGAGGAAATCTTGTACCACCTTAATTAAGTCCTTAAAGTCCTCGGAATTACAGTAGCTTAAGGCCTCTAGGTGGTGTCAAATTTCATCCATCAACAGTAGCTTGAACAAAAGATATCAGCACCTACATCCTGTTTATCCGAACCAGGGTGAGTGTCGGTTGCCCGGGTGCGACGTGCCTGCTGATCCACTTGAAAGGTTCAAGCCAAAGTCTCGTTCTGGGAGCCTATGCCTCAAGTAAGCTTGAACCCGAAAGAAAAGCTTGGAAACAGCAGCTAGGACTGGGGAAGCTCGTTCATCTGGGCGGCACTTGCGACCTTAGCTACGGCCGAGGCACGAGAGCTCCAGGGTCGCGTGGTTTCTGAGAGTAACGTTGCCTTGTGATGTTGGATATGGAATCTCGCGGAGTTCCTGAAGATCATCAGTAATTTTCGGAGCACATCTGGCAGTTGTTACCGTGATCTCCATGTGAGCGACCCTGTGACCTCGTTTAGGTGGGCTAGGAAGGCAGCCCATGTTGTCCGTTGCGCTTCAGGAGCACTCGGCGCTGCAGGCAGAGGTCCATGAGATCAAGAAGGCCGAGCACCCCACCCCAAGTGCCTAGTTGGTGCTGATATTTACAGAGGCCGCAGCGCCAGCACGAAAACTGACAGTAGAGGCCGCAATATAGGCAGCCGCAGCAGAAGGAAGACAGTCCAGGGTATCAAGACAGGTCCCCATGCTAGCAGGCCTACAGCAATACTTGGACAAGCGGCATGCAAAGTTTTTGTGCCAAAGTCACGCCGCAATAGCATCCCGGACAGGACCAGGAGCAAGCCGTCGACAGCCTCGGCCACCTAATCCGCACCGCTGGGAGCCAAGTCGACTGGTCTTTGACGTTCTTTGAGGTTTCAGGGCTGCAAGATTTGATGTGCTAAGAAGGGCTAATTGAGAACGGTGGCGGGGACTCTGGTAGTCGAAAGCCGCTTTTGAATTGCCGTTAGCTTCGAAGGAAGGTGTACCTCGCGCTGCATGCTACACTTTCCAGAAAAGAACAAGGAACACTGATGTAGACTGCCCTTACTTAGGGAAGCGGGAAATGATACTCTTAATAGGGCACCCTTGAGGGTTCCGGTTTTGTTTGGGACCACCGAGAAAGTGGCTCCGGATCAACTTTGTAGTATTTGCTGACCTCACCATCTTGTTTTGATGCTACCCACGGCTTCGGTGGAACATTCTCCAATTTTCAGTCTTTGTTATGCACTCGCCGTACTGAAGTCCATAATCGAGTCGGTCAGATATGCGAGGCCCACACTTTTTGGAAACCCGTAGGTTGCCGAGAGCGTCGCGGCAAATGTCGAGAAGATCCAGGCGCAGGGATTTGAGTCGATTTTTCCTCTCTTCGAATTTCAGACTGATTGGTGCTCCTCGGTATTGCCCGCTGACTGGTCTTTGTCGGGATTGCATGAGGGTTGGCCTATTTGTGTTTTGCATTCGGATTCCAGGGACAGCATGAGGTGCGGCCTCAAAATTCGTTTGTGCTGTTTGCACAACACCCAACTCGCTTGGAACCTCCAAATGGGCTCTTTGTAGTGCGCTATCCTGTTTCTCGAGGAATTTCTGTCTGAGTTTGGGGGAGGGTAGGCGTGTTTGGAGTTTGCGGATGACAGGCTTAGGCTGGGTTGTTGCTAAGAAGTTTAAATCAAGTCACTATATTAAGGAAACCTTGTTTTTCATTATGTTCCCTTAGTATGGCAGCTTGATTTGAGTTCCTTAACAGCAACCCAGTAGGTTTGCGGTTTAAGGGCTGGGACCGGGATCTGAGCAGACCCTCGTGGGGTGCCTTGTGGCACGCAGCACCGCAGCATCCCTCAGGAGCGCATCCTGCGTGAAGTCCTGGACAAAGCAGTGGATCAAGTCAAGGACAGGCATGGCGTGTAAGGGTTTCTAACAGGGTTTAGGTCCCATGTTGGAAGGCTTTCGGAAACCCAAACCTCATTAGCGCTTGATGCGATTGAATTTGAACTGCCAAAGCCATGTGACGATCCAGAGCTTGGCTGCAATTGCTCCTACTTTCACTCGACGGTGGACTCTGTTCATATTTTTTCTTCAAAGATGAGCTTGATGACTGGATTCGAGGGCCAGAGAGTGTGCAATTAAAGTATGATTTCCAAATTTGCCTTTTCAAGCAGAGCCTCCATGCTGTTTGCCCGAGCCCTGACTATGCCTGATGTTTCGTGCCAACGGGGGATGTGGGTCTCTCGCAAAAATCAGGTGCAGCAACAGAACCAATCATGCAGATTTCTGTCGCAGTAATCTTTGCTATCTTCTTGTCAGGGGATAGGCTTGGTTTTGTTTGGCCGATTTTTTCCCCTTGCGCCGTGGGTCTGAAAGATGAAAGCAGTGTCCAGCGCTCTGCAAACATTTCTTGGTACCAGCATGCAAGGGGTTGTGTGTTATATTTGCCCCTTTCACGTAGCCTAGACGAGAAGGAAAAAGCCAGAATGGAGAATCCGAAAGCATTCGTATTGGGTTGAAAACTAGCTTTGAAATCTGAAGTCAGATGTTACGAAAGCTTCCTCCAGCTTTCGTGCAGGTCCAGCTTTGCTGATCTGTACTACGGGGTGTGGGGGTTAGGAAAGCCCAAAA